AGGTATTTTACTATTTAAATAGAGAACTTATACTTATTAATATTAATATAGAGTCTAGCTTTCTTTAAGTAGTATAAAACTAACTTTACTTTTACTTTATAGTCTACTCTATTATTAAAACTATATATTAGGATATTATTAAAATATACTATTATAGAATTATCTAGAGTGTTCTTTAGTATATTATTAATATATCTTTAAAAGCTTACTAGGGCCTTAGAAAGTCTAAATAAGTATATAAGCTACTTAAATAGACTAAAGTAAGTATAAAACACTATATATTTCTTTTACTCTAGTTTTATTTAAAGTTTATAGAAGACTAAGTGGATATTAACCTTTATATACTATTTTACTATTAAAAGAGTATAGAGTGTCTCCTTTATTAATAGTAGGGGGTATTAATTATCTTTTATAATAGTGTTTAAGGCTCTATAGTCTATATAAAACCACTAGTTACTTACTAGCTTCTTAATAAAGAGAACTAGTACTATAGTAAAAGAGGAGCTAGTTTATATCCACCCTTAATTAAGTAGACTAATAAACTATTAATATACTTCTAATAGCTAATTATAGGATATCTAGTATAGTCTCCTATAAGGGAGCTCTTCTAGTATACTATATAAATATATTTTAAACTTTATATTATAATTAAACTCTAACTATATTAAAGGTAGAATAGTTGTTTTTTCCTCTAGAAAAAAGTCTTTAAACTTATTATACTATTCTAAGAGACACTATTCTTTTACTAGGGTATAATATAGTATAGTATTAATTTTATATAGGTTTATTATTATTATCTTTACTTTAATACTAGTTATATAGAATTTATCTTTTAATACTTTATAAAATCTCTTCTTTATAAGTAAGGTAGAGTATAATACTAGACTATATTACTACTATATATAGATATACTAGTTAGGCTTATTCTTTAGATAGAGATATTCTACTTCTATATTAATAATTAAATAGTACTATTATAGTTAAAGTAGCCTTAAGATTACTAGGTAGGAGAGGGCTAGGATAATATAGAGTAGTATAGAGAACTATTAGCTATCTATATTAATATATATTTATACTACTTCTACTATAGTAAAGAGTAGTGTATTCTTTACTATAAAGTGGATCTATCTTAGTAAAAAGAGAGTAACTTATTATAGTTATAATAAGTCTACTAATCCCTCTTATATTACTCTATAGTACTTATAACTAGTATTATTTAATATATCTAGGGGGGTAAATATATTAATAATACTTAGTACTAAGAATAGTTTTATATTTATATATTTTTTTATTTATTTTTATACTTAACTCCCTTCCCCCCCTTTATTATTTAACTTCTATATTATAAGTATTATTATATTATCTAAAGGGAGCTACTTTCTTAGATATTACTATTTTCTACCTCTAAGTTACTACTTTAGTTAATAATCACTATAACCTAAGATTATTATATATTTAATTATTTTACTAAAAGTAAATAGTATTTTATAATATAATATTTATTTTAATTATACTAAAGGTAAGCCCTTAATTCCCTCTAAGAGTATAATACTAACTTAGATACTTAGGGCGCCCTCTCTTACTCTTCTAACTAGTACTATAGCCCTTTTATAGGGGCCCTTAGATAAGTATAGAATATACTAATTCTTATTATTATTATATCCTTATTAGTATTAACTTAGTATTAGGTTAATAGTTTACTAGTTTATAATTAATAGTTCTCTTTAATTTAAAAGGATTCTAAATCTATAGAGATTACTTAAATATCTTATACTATTATATTATAATCTATTTAAGAGATCTACCTACTAATTATTAAGCTCTTTATAGTATTAAAAAGGGTAAACTAGAGTTTATCTAGTTTAACTTTATTTACTTATACTAGCCCTCCTACTATTACTAATTCCTATTTAAAGTATATATAGTAGTAAAAGAAGGACTCTTTTTCCTATTATTTTATTAAACTAAAATATATTATTATTAACTCTTAATAATAAAGGTTACTAAATACTATTTTAAAATAACTTAAGAATATATAAAGGTCTAATTCCCCTTAGTAGCCTCCTACTTTAAAGTAAACTATAACCTTTTATTATATAATTAGACTAAGACTTAACTATATATATATAAACTAGGCTTATAGTAGACTAATAAAGGCCTTATTAATTTCTAGTTTATACTCTATTACTTACTTTTAATCTATAAAGGTTTTTATATTTCTATTAAATTTTTTACTCTATAGAAGGGGCTTTTATTAAATAGTTATATAAGTTAATACTAGTTTAATACTAATAGTCGTCTATAAGGGCGGCTATATATATCCCCCTTAGCCTTAGGAGCTAGTTAGTAAGAATTACTCTTAGAGAAGCTATATTTCTATTTATAGTTTATTTTTTTATTTAAGTAGAGTTTAATTTAGTAATACTAGCTTAATATAGTCTATTAGGGTGTTATAGGAAGACTACCCTACCTCTATTATAGTAACTAAAGAAAACTAAGAAGAGATTTAATTATTAAGGACTAGCCTTATAGTTACTATAAGTAGGTATTAATATAAGGTTAAATTAAATCTCTTTAAATCTCTTATAGACCCCCTTATTAGCCCTATGCCTTAGGCCACTAGACTATTAGTCTAGTTAGGCTGTGGCCTAAGCTCTTATAAATAGGTGTATATAAGTTACTATAAAAGTAGTAACTTAATATTATAGTAGTAAACGAATTTATATATTAGATAATAAAACTAACTAAAAACCTATATAAGGAAATAAATATAGTCTATAGTTAATATACTAAATAAATAAACTTATCTTTATTATTATTACTAAAGTATAAATAGAGTAATAAAGTATAGTTTAATATAAAGAACCTAATAATAGATTAGTTAAGTAAGAACCTTTTAAATAAATATATTAGTCTATATAAAATTATTAAAATTATTAACCTAACTATAGTTTAACTTAAACTCCTACTAAGTATAAAGATTTATAATATATTCTATACTAACCTACTATATTCTATATATATAGATCCTCTACTTAACTAAGTTTAATAAGTCGAACTATAAGTAAGATTAGAATAAGATATTAGTAGCTAAGAATAAATAATAGAGAAAATTTTAAACTCTTAAATCACTAAGAATAAGTATAGAGATATTAGACTTAAGTACCTAGTTAAGTAAAAAGGTTCACCCCTTACTTAGTAACCTTAATAAGACTTAATACCTAAAGGTAAAGTGTTATTATATACGTTTTATAACTAATAACTAAATAAACTATTACTAAGTAAATTATAGTATTATAGGAGCTCTTAGAGGTTTAGGAGGGGGGTAATATTATAATCCTATATTAAAGCTACTATAGTATTATATAACTATATAATACCCTTATTACTTTTATATATCTAGAAGCTACGCTTTCTCTCTTTCTTACTTCTTTACACTATGTCTTATATCTAGAATCTAGTATAGACCTAGTCACTCGTTCATTTCCTTTAAGAATCATTCTTAAGCACCTCCTTGACGTGAGATCCTCACACTCTCCCCACCCCTAGCGCAGGTTGCCAGCAAGTCGGCGGGAGATGGGTGCTGGAAACCTGAAGTGCCCTCCACGGCCACCCCCTGCAGCGGCCGACGGGCTGCTGAACGTGCTGGCACTCACCGTTTCTATGATTGCTAGCAACGTGCCTGCTTGCATTTATTTATTAAATCATAGACTGTCCCATCCGCCTTCCTATTTATTTATTTCTTTCTTCTGGCGGCTATGCAGCGTACAACTATAGACACGTTACTCCCAGTATCTGGGGGATCTGTCTCTCTTGCAGGAAAACTGTGCTTGTCAGGCGGTTCCTGCATGAGAGACTTTTCCCTGTCAAGCGACGGGGCCTATGGTTGCTCTTCGCCTATAGCTATTCTATCTATTCTGTCTCTCTGAACCTTTCAGGCCTTTCCTGGCCCTCCTTAACTTCTGTATAACCAAAATCACTCGTTTACGCTGTGTATGGTGAGGAAACGTGCTTACTTCCTTCTTAAAGACTGACATGAATGATCTGACGTCTGCCATCAAAGTCGCATCTTCTCGTCAAGGTCAGAGAGCTTGTGCAGCAAAAAGTTTATGGTGCCAAGATTTTCCTGAAGTGTGAGCTCAATGTCCACGAGGCACGCAAGAGGGCTCTCAAGGATCATATTTTCCTCTTTAAGAGGAATGAAATAAATATGGTCTGCCATGGCTCTAGGGAGTCCGCAGTGCTTGGATTTAGACTAGACTGGGGTTGCTAAAAATAATTCTCAGCGCTCGTTGTCGCCGACGGAGGACGGCGACATGTGGGGCCGTGCTCCGTTTCCTCCGGCCCCACGCAGCCATGGTTGTTCGGCGGTTAAGACTGCGAATTGATTGGTTTGAAGCCGGCCATCTTTGGCGTATTGGATTCGAGGAAGGTTCTAAGTCTGCCGGGGCCGGCTGGTCCCGATTCTGATCTGGGGGTTTTCGTGCAGCCAGCTCTATAATCTCGGTTGAGTAGAAGCGAATTTGGCTGTATTATCAGCAATTCTCCCCAGTAATCAACGCCAACATTATGCCAAAGGCTGCAACTGATCGATGGTCCTCTTATATTATTCAATCCAGAAACTTTGCTCCTCATTTACGGGCACCATTGCCTCTGTGTGGAGGACACCTAGCTGACCAGGGGGAGGCAGAGACACCGGTTTTATGGTGGATGGGGCTGGAGTCTGCCTGTGCCTTAAACACCCGCAGCTGGGCCATCATTCTTTCATGAGATCAAGACCGTCAGCGCCGATTTTCTTGTTAATCAATTTGGCGATCAGGGCAACGGCAAAATAAAATACACATCTCCTACAAGGGATATTACGGCCTTCCTCGTCAAACGAAAAGAGCCTCTGCAGGATGGGTACGACAAACGACATTATAGCATAACGTCTAAAGTCCAAAAATCAGTCGACTTCGAGATGGGGTACAGATGGCGAGATAGAAGAAGCTGTTCATTTCCTAGATCCTCTGAATCTGAAATTCCGCACACTTTCCTTCCATCAAATTCTTCATGCCCTTGGAATTTGCTGTGAGCAGTGACCTGCCGTGGCTGCCCCGCCAGGTATCACGACCAAGACGGGCGATTACCACCCGCCACCCCTTCCACACGACCGTTGCGAGTATCTTGTTGTGACGCGAGCGATAACGCTCTCTCCGTGATTGCTTCTTCAAGTGCAACCATGGGGTGATTCGCCGAGGAGAGCCAAGATGTTTGTAGTTGCCCTTGCTTTCATCCCACACAAAAGAATCCACCTCGTGTACATCTTCATCTCTAATGGTCATGTGGACTGCGCAAGCACTTAAAGTGACGGAGTGGTCATCCGCATGGACATTGCCGTCAGCGTCCTCTCGGTCTTTCTTAACGTCAGCAGGATCGGAATCGCCGACGTTGCCTTTCTTAATGTGGATTCTGTTTGTCCAGTCAGCCTTGTGGCTATGATCACCAGCCCCGGCTTCCTTTCTCTGAACGTACAATGGCTGCGCATCGCTATCGTCAGCGGATGCTTCTGTTAAGGCAGGAGGACGTTTGCTTCCAGTGTCTTCTTCGATCGTGTCGAGCCCGTTGCCGTCATGAAACTTAAGATCGATCGACTGGAGCTGTATTGGCGGTGTGGTGCGAGCCTATGACTGGCAGGCGGTCGCATCCACGGATTCGTCCATGTCGAGGTTGTAGTCCTGTTGTTGAGAAGGTAGCGGATGCAAAACGGCGACGTAGCTCGGGGTCCTCAGCGTGAGAGTGAGGAAGTGTAGATGGAAGGTTCAGGTTTGGGGATCAGGCACCAGGTCTGTACGAGACTTTTATCTGCCTCCTGGCGACCCTGAGGCCACGTGAGTTCAGCCCAGCGAGCTTGATACTAAGTCGGGAGAGCTCTCTTCCATGCTTGGCTGCTGCCCAGGAAGCTGCCCACCCACTCGGCTCACGTGGCCTTGAGGATGATGCTCCTGGTAGGTGCATTAGAGCCAGTTGAGAATTCTGCTGTTTGGTGGCATCATTGGATGCCTTATCGGCTGCTGCGTTGCCGGGTACGCCCTTCTGACAATCTCGTGGTTCCGCCGGGCTAGTAAAACATCAACTGTATGAGGGACTCTGGATGGTTCTGAGCAGATTCAATATCCGCGATCCGTGCCGCAATCTGCTGCGTTGTGTTCATAGTCGCCTGCTTCTGTTCCTGGACGCATCCGCTGCGCGGCTCCCTGGTTCCTAATACGCGCTCATCTTTAGAAACGCCGTCTAACTCCCTACGTAAAGCTAGAAGCTCCGCCGCAGCCATTTTCTCGCCCATTAAGACCAATATCTCACGGAAGGCCTCTTTTGTATTCCTAGAAAAGAAGTATAATTAAGCAGTGTAATGGAATGGCAGGTTCGATAGTAGAATGTACCTCAAGATCCGCACTGTCCGCGTGTAGAAATCCAGCCATATTGCGACCCCTGGTGGTGGGTTCTTAACAATGCTCTGTTCGTTTAAAGACAACTCAAAGATTATCGCGCCTATGTCGGATGGGTAGTTACTCCGCATGTCTTCCACCTCCTTCTGGAGTCCTTCTACCTTCTCCCTAAGGCCCTGCCATCGATAATGCGCTATGGTGATCTCGGCTTCCGCTATAAGCTGGGTAGCGAGCTGGAGAAAAGCCCTGTCATGGGACTGATATTTCGGACGTCGAGAAGGTTGTTAACAGCTGCACTCGCTGCGCGTAATGCGCGAATTACTATGTCTCTATTGCTTTCCATGGTAGAAGCGAAATGGTTTGGCACACGGGGAATGGTGATGCAAATAGATAATGACTGGCGGATTCATAAGGAGGGTGGTGACTTAAGATAATGCTGTTGCTGTTGAACTCTCAACAGAGGATGGGAAGGTTATGCAGCTATACATACATGTTGTAGGTCAAGCCAACAAATGGCGGGGAAACAGAAACAACTACCAGGGAATGTCACCAAGTGGACAGGTCTGTGAACTCAAAGCTTACCGTCGCCACTCTTATCGGCGATATTTCCCCTCATAGTAAATGACCCGAAGAAGCATAGGCCAATAAGTCGATTGATTGGCTTCAGATAGGGCGTGGCTGCGATGGCTAGCTATTTACAGCTCAGCCTGCTGGCGGAATAGTCGACTAACCAACTCCATAGCACGCAGCCTTGTCACCCTCAAGCGGAAAGTGATCAAAATTAACGAAGTACAGTGCCGCTGCAATACACCCACAGTCCAGTATCTAGTCGGGCACCGCTTTCCACCCTCTACTACCACTGAAAGCAGCTAGTAAAGCGGAACATATTGGTGCAAAGGCACCTTCATTCGCACGGACCGTACTAGACAACTTCGTGAAGTTGACAGCAAAAAACATAGCATGCTCATTAACCTTGTATCAATCTGGTAAACTCAAACATTCAATTCAAGCGCAGGGCGGCTACTCTTAATTTCCGCCTCGTCAACCACCTCTGTCGTATCCTTAACCTCAGCCCAGTGATTTCGCTGCCCCGTGGCTGGGGACGAGGCTCACAATAGCGGGAGTCAGCCGACCGTATTTGGTTGAGGAGTCAGGGCTAGGCTAGCGCGCCCAGGGCAGGAATCGTTGCTTTCTGGATTTGTGGGTAGCAGTTGAGTTTGGGACCCCATCGCTGCGCTCTGGCCTTAGTGGAATCATGAAAAGGCCGTCACTTGATCCCTCCGAATGATCTGTGCGGCTGTCATCCTGTTTAAAATTCCTAATTCGAGTTTCCGGACTAGTAGTCGCAAGAGAGTAGTGAAGGTTTGCCACTGAGTGAGAAGTTTCGCTTCCTGCATTGGCAGGTGCGGCGTCTGTGGCATCCAGGCAAGCATCACTCTGTGGACGGAGCAGTGGGGGTGGAGAGACACTGCGTTCAGTTAGTATAACGGGTCCGGTGCTGTGCGCTTGGTCTTTTGCTTGAGTTCTAGAGTCAAGTAGATCGTAAGACTTTTTGATTCTTCGGAGACGAGGTTCAAGCCTTCTCCTGCTTCTACCCCGAAGTCCTTCCTCATCGCCGTCTGCTAGACCTTCCGGAGGAGCAACTAGTGCAGAACCTCGACACTATGCCAGAGGGTACGTTTGTGTAGTTGTCTGGTCTCTCACGCATGGTTTGTGCAACCCACTCCCGGGCGTTTTCTAATGCAGCCGCTGGGGAGTCGCGGTACCGTAAGAGGTAGGACGTGATCTGCGCACTGCTGAACTTGAGTTCTAGAATAAGAGCAGCAAACTCAATAGCGCATCGTGCCAACACTTCAGCCCGAGTACTAGTCAAAGACTTGGATCTAGCAATAGGTTTGTACATAAATTTGAATAACTCTGCCGTCATGATGGAGTCCGTTAAGTTGAATTCGACCTTCAAGTCAATGCGGCCCGGTCTGATAAGCGCGTCGTCTAACTGCTCTGGGTGATTGGTTGTTATGATCAAAAGTCGGCCCTCTTGAGAAGCGACACCGTCGAGTGTATTCAAGAGTCCTAATAATAACACCGAATGTTTGCGCTCTTTCCGTTCCCCCTCGCTCTGCGAACGATCAGTCCCCACAGCATCTATGTCCTCCAGCAAGACAACGCATCTGTCTGGAAGCTCACTGAACAACTGTGACAGTGTTTGATCATCAGTTCCTGGAATGTTGACGACGTATATATCCATCCTAAATGCGCCTGCGATGGCAGAGCTAAGGCTTGACTTGCCGGTGCCAGGTGGTCCATAGAAAAGATAGCCGCGCTGATATGCGAAAGTTTTATAACGGTACTATTCTCGGGTTGCCGGGTTGAGAAATTCTCGCACATTATTAAGTAATGCTTCTTTCTGCTGTTCTGGGAGCAAGGCAGTAGAGAGTGGCCGAATCTCTTTTGTTGCCCTTCTCTTCTAAAAATCACCACGATTCTTAAATATGGTGATTTTTCCTTAATTCTACTATAGGTACTCGCATCGACACTAGTTAAGGAGCCTAGTTAGACTGTAGCTGGATCTTCTAATATAGGTGAGGGAGACTATTTCTTTCCTAGAGAACCTAGTGATTACTATATTAGTTTAATAGTAGAGTAAGTAATCTTTAAATGTGAATAGAAAGCTACCCTCCTATAGAGAAAAGGCAATAGGCTTTTTAATAGAGCTAGAATCTCCCTTTTAGTAGGCCTAAGTAACACTAACGCGGGCAATTCTTGACCTTATAGCCTCGTTAAGTTTATGAGAAGAAACCCATGCCATTAGCATATCGTACATCTCATCCGTACTTTCCACGCTCGTAGTCGTAGCTGGGATATGTTAGAAACTTGATTAGTATTAATGGGTGTTAATACTAACTAAAGTAGGCGATAAACCATGCATGAGCCTGATACGTGTACGACTTTAAAAATGCCATGAATCCAAAGACGAGCATGAGCGGGCCGTAACTGTTAATGCCCTAAGCAAGCAGCTGCGGCATTGCCGAATTGAGAACTCCTGGGATGGGAAGACCCGCTATGCCGAGAGGTTTTGGCGAGGATGGAGGCCAGGCGAACAAATTGCTTGTGTTACAAGCTGCGTTCATGTTGAAAGCTTTCTGTACTGTAGGTACTAGAAGAGACGAGGAAGAAGATAATTTGCAAAGCACCGTATATGTGAGTTGCTTGAAACAGGGATTGATATGCCGGGGAAAGACATCTTTTTATACATGAGCGGTAGGATAGTATTCACCCGACAGAAATCATTTTAGCAGGCATGACGAATTTCGAGAACTCAGCTGATACCAGCTGGCTACCACTCTAGCGTAATTCGATAGTGCAAGATGTGTTGTCGCTACTACAATCTGCATGCACGCTGTTTGTGATATATCATAGGCGGTTATGGCTTAAGAGACCTGCATGCAAGAGGTGGCAGACATGAGTGGCAGACATGATTAGATGGCGTTTCGGTGGATCTCACGGTGCGGGCAAACGGCTCGATCTACCTCCGTAGATGTATTGAAACTGGGGTGGTGGATATCCCAAATTATGTTCGCGGGGTGCAGGGGTGGCATATTCGTGCCCCTGCTAATGCAGGGGTCGCACGGCTGACCCCCCTGCGCCGGGCATGGGTCACAAATTTGTGACCCATGCTGATAACGTGATGCCCGATGAATAGCCGCCGGACACACATACTCCCGGGCCCGGTGATGCATGTGATTAAGGAGGGGCGATGTTCTAGAAAATGCGGCACATACAAAGGCTTCAACGATGTCATAATGTCTGCTGAAAATGTGGCCTGCAAGGCCCTTGACGAAGAGGGCCTCTTTGACATGCAGGATCTGCTGATCGGTGAGCACATATTGGAAATGGAACGGAGGCGCTTTCATTTCTCTTCTGAGTATGGCCTGGAGTTCTGTAGTAAGCACGTCCTTTAGATTAAGGTACGCCAAGCCAGAAATTATCGTGGTCACCATCTAACTCGTCCTAGGAAGTCAGAGCTATCGTCGCATCTATATTTGAGAAGTGTGTCTTCGCACACTGGTTGTGATATGAAGAATATCCAGGACATATTATTAGCTTCATGCGAGGTGGCCAGAGGGCTGGGCGACGCGCGCTTTTAGTACATTTGTTGGCGAAGGGTTCTTTAGTTGATTACTTCCCGCGATCACATCTTCTCGAACTGGCTGCCATAAAGGGAGGGCGGCTGCTTTGGGAAACGCCGAAAGAGGCCCTTACTGAGGCCGGCTGTAGCCCTTGCGAGAAGAATTTCCCTGATGGTGGACTGTACGTTACCATGAGACCTTTCTTTGCCAAAATCTAACGAGAGACAGCGTTATCCTCGATGCACGAATGAAATACGAAATCAAGACAGGCTATGCCATAACGTTCGAGTTTGGCACAGAAGAGCTGGTTCGGAAGTGGCCGAAGATGGAACTACCGAAGCTGGAGGTTCTTAAGCAAAAGGTCGCGAGCATATAAAGTGCAGAAGTTCGGCTTAACTTCACTTTTGATCCTGATTTAGTAACGCGGCCTGCATAATTTACTTTCCTGGTGCATAAACTCCGCCGCCTTCATTTGAGAAAAAGTCAATCTCCCCGCTTGTTGAACCTAAGGTGTTGGCATCCCATATCCATCCAGGCCATGCAGGATGAACCGCCGGCGGAAGGTTAATCACCCTATTAACGGGAGCCATGTAATTAAAGTTGTCTAGTCCCGTTGCTGAAGCCTCAGCCACAGAGTAGACGGCACCGGCAGCCGAATCGTGGACTGGCAAGCCTGCACCGCCGGTTTGCGTCAACACAGCATCTGCCGCTGTGCTATGTCCCTCTACTGATCGAGGGTGTTGGCAACCATTGGTAACTGTAGGTTCCACAGAGCCGGCCTGAATCGCTTTGGCTCTTTTGATCTCTCTCGGACCAATATCCGTATCTGATGCCGTTCGTTTGCTTCTTTTTTTAATTTTTAGCAGCTGCTAGTTCTTTGTCGACTTGATCGGTTGCTATATTGCGTCTCTGGGCCATGTAAGAACTCTTCGAGATGTCGACAATAGGATCGCAGTGCACATGCCGCAGATATGCGCTCGCCAATCGAAATACCTCGTGACAGTACACGCAAACTTCATTGCATTCGACATCTACTAGGACGATATTAGAGCATGTCTGCTCCAACGGAAGTGCGGATGGTCTCACGTTTTCGATAGTGAATTCTCAGTTCTTTCCGTATGGCGAATGGTTTGGCGCGACTACACCCTTCGTAAGGGCAAAATCGGTTACTGATTGTAGGTTGTATGGTTTTCTCGCGACTTTCGCTTGACGCATCGCTGCCTTCATCTGGTGTGTCCTGCGCAGGGTAGACACTCGAGTGAGTTGAACACTTTTCTAACTCACTTTTTAAGTATGTTTCGTGGCTCTAAAGATAGTTAGCAACGTCTAGTTGCGGATCCTGGATACCGACTCGATGTTCATTGAGATGCGTTTCTAAATCTTCCGTTGTTGGGAAGGAAGCGTAGCATGTGCGTGTTTTGGCTGCCATTGTAGCAAAAAAGAACCAAAGAAAGATGACGTATAATCTCCACCAGAGGGCGGGGTCTGGACGGCTTATAAAACCATATGCCCCTTCAGGCGGTGTCATGTGACAGTACGTTTATGGTGGCATGAAGCTGCTCATGAGCCTAAACTCTGTGGGGCAGGGTCTGCACCATCCATAAAGGCCCAAAGTCACCCCCAAAACATGACAACTCGAAAAGCTGGAAAGTTCTTCGCCGAATTTTCTTTCGTCTCCTTAGTCTCCTTGGAGGCAATGACAACTAGCTAGTTGGTCGCCTTCCGATATCAAAATGGCCCCCAAATGCGAAACTTGCTCGGATACGGGCGATGTCAAGGGGAATCCCTGCCCGACTTGAGGCAAAGACAATAGCAGTAGTGGCTGACAAGGACTACTCGAGGTACGAAAAGCATGAATTTGCGTGTATCCCGTCCTTACCGGAAAGCTATCTCCTTAAGTGTAGAATTACTGACGTATGAGCTTACCTTCCAGAGATACACCAAGCACGGTTTCCACGATCATCCTGACCTTCGATTCGTTCCGGTTCCGACAACTGCATCCATGAGAAGGCCGAAAATAGTATACTGCAAGTTGGACGTCTTTGGCAGCTCAATGCTGCTTTTCTGCCTATCGATATTTCTGCTTATCGATGTGTATAAAAGAAGTCATGATCACTCTGTCGGGCTCTTACTAGCCTGTCAATAGATTTAACGTGGAGTTGACGCGCCTCTCGGGCCTTCTGTTACCCAAGGCGTTTACTGGTGTCGCTTTGTGTTTGTTTTATGGTCGAGGGATATAATTCCCTTTCACATACTGCATCCGGTATTGCATTGATGTGCTAGGAAAGAAGATCCTGCCGAGTCGCTGAGAGCTAGCCTTAATCGAACTATCTACAACCTCACCATATACGACTGACTGTCGTCTATGAGCTCCATACCAAGCGTTGCACTGACACAATTTTCCTCTGTCTCTTTGCTATATACTTTCGCTAATATCTTAACCACCGGACGCAGGCCTGACGGCGTTCTTGTGGATTAGTATGGTTCGTTTCGTACATCGACAGTATGCGGGTGTAGCACCAGTGTCGAGTGAGAACGTTATCGGCTTAGCCAGCCATGTTGTATATTCTGATGCGTGGAGTGTTTAATATCAACACAAAGAAATATATCTGGGACAGGGTCAGGCTCCAGCTGGGGGCTTTGATACGTAGAAGCGGCGCTTGGGCTGCGAGATTGACATGGATCTGCCATGTGACGGAGACTCAGGCACCAATACCTTACATTTGGTCGACACCGAGACAGCTCAGCAGCGATGCGGGGCTGTGACTCTCATGGTCAGCAGATCAGCAGAAACGCTAAAACTATTCGTCCGACACCGTTTCTAGGCAACGCCTCCCAAACCACCTCTGTACCACAAACAACATCGGTATTCTTGCCAAGCTTGTTGTTGAGCAAAGAAGAATACTAGAACTTGCAAGCCGAATTGCGTGCTGAAGTCGCTGTACCTGCCGTCGGCTTACCGATGTGTCGCCAGCTTCCTCGCAACCTGCAACGTCACATGCGGCCCCCGACTGTGCGAGACACCGTTCCGTAAGGTACGTATGGCAAAATCCTTAATTTTCTTTTTCGATTCTTCCGCATCCGACGCCCAAGACCTACCAATCCCACCGTGCTGTGCGGATTCGCATAAGTCGGACGCCAGCCCGCCAGTTACTGTAAGCTTCTCTGCAAGCTGTGTCGACGCCAGGCACGTCGCACTACAGCATTGAGCTTCAATTCCCAGCGTGCTTAGCGAGTGTACATCTTAGGAAAAGTCAAGGAGGCTGAGAATGAGGCCTGGGCTGGATTCAGTCACAGGGTGAGGGTGAGCTAATGAAAGCTCGGGCTTAGCCTCTCGCCAGGGCTTTATAACCACACGCCCTACACTATATAAGTCTGTGGAATTTAATACTGTTGGAAACACAGGCGGAAGACTAGGTAGTTATTAATGACGAATAAGGAGATTATGCGGGAGTAGGTTTTATGCGTTTTTTACTATGTAGGTGAGGAGGTTGTACCGAACCTGGCCACGTGATTGTGTTGTCTGTTGCATAAGCGCTGCGGGAGGCGCTGCGGTGCGCGCTGCACAATGTTTATTAATACTCAACTAACTTCGTTGCCAACATTCCAGACAATAGCTCTCTCTTGCACCAATCAGCACTTTTCTAATCAGATAAGCAACGTCATTACACAATGTCCCCCACCGGAGGAGACCCTGGATGCCAGCCAGCGGCACAACTTTTTGTCGTGGAGCCCACAGCTGCCCATACGCACACCATCATTCTCCTTCACGGACTTGGCTCAAGAGGGGAGAAGTTTGGATCGGAGTTTTTAGACACTGGGGTCTCGTCCTCTGGCCACAAGCTTACCGAACTGCTTCCTTATGTCCGCTTCGTCTTCCCCACCTCCAAACGCCGCCGATCGAAAGCGTTTAGCCGATCGATGCTCACACAATGGTTCGATATTGCCTGCATTGAAGATCCCTCTCATCGCCAAGAGCGTCAGTTGAAGGGTCTTACTGAATCAGCGACCGAGATTATAGCCGTCATAGGGGATGAACTCCGGCGCGTGCCGCAGCAGAATCTCATCATCGGCGGGCTAAGTCAAGGCTGCGCCATGGCCCTGGCAGTCCTGCTCTGCTTGGAGCACCCCGTCGGCGGCTTCATCGGTATGAGCGGGTTCTTTACTTTTGAGTCCGGCATGAATTCCGTGCTCATAGATGCTTCCGCGGGCGGTCTTGAACCGACCCACGAGAATCCGGTCAAGGCGCAGACTTTTGAGCGGGAGCTTTTATGCCTGGATGCGGTGAAGGAACCGTCTGCTGAGAGAACTGCTTGCCGCACGCCTGTCTTTCTCGGCCACGGCGCTGACGACGAAAAGGTTCCCTCCCGTCTAGGCGAGGCCGCTGCTGCAATCATGCGCGCCGCGGGATACGAGGTCAACTGGAAATGCTATCCGGAACAAGGGCATTGGTATAAGATCCCGGAAGAGATTGACGACATTATCGATTATATTACTCGAGTTGGATGGAAGATACAGCTATAAGTCGTTAATAATACAACGGCGGTTTAGATGCAGGGCACTGTGTTAATAGTATTTTAATCAAATGCGTTGTGGCATAGGACTGCCGTCGATCACATAACAGTCTAGATAATGCACTATATTTAAGAAAAGCCCCCGTGTTAAAATCAATGGATAACATCGCCAGAACTCCAGAATACAGCGATTTCTTTGTAATACGGCTTCAAAATCTGATCGATTGCGCGGCTTCGGCTCCACGGGTGTTCCCAGTCTGGGCACGACACCGCCTTGCAATATTCCCAGTATTCAGGGTAAAACCCTGAAAACTCCCAGTCCAGGATGGCCACAACCTTGGCGCCTCGAACAAGGATATTTCTTGGGTCAAAGTCATTATGCGTTAAGACAATCTCGTGATTCTTCATAACATCCTCCCAGACATCGCATCGCCACTCAGTAAATGTGTACGGTCCCTGTTTTCTCATGACATCGATAATGCCTTGATTGAATTCCTGTTCCGTCTGGTACGGCCCGTAATTCTCCTTTTCGCTGTAGAAATATTGGTCCTGACAGGGTGTGCCATCAATGCAGCCTATGAAGCTGCCTTTAAAGCTGCGAAGTTGAGACATGTGGTCTTGTAATTGGGCTATAACTGACCGACGCTCGTCTTCCGTGTATGCCACCCATGCTTCGTCAAGACTTTGGCCCTCTACAAAGTCCATTATGATGACAACATGTCCAGTCATTTCATCAACATAGGCGTTGTGAACTTTAGGCACCGGGATGCTAGTGTTGTCGAGCACAAACTTCATAGTTTCGGCTTCAGCCATTCGGACGATTCGGCCGGTCTTGACGACGGTTGTTGGGTTAATTTTGTATACCGGTGAGAACGTCGACAGCCTTGGCGCGTTTTCGATCTCTTCCTTCGTAACGGTTTGGGCCATTGCATAGATGGTGCCAGTTCGGCTGTGTGTGGGCTAGTAAACAGAGCAATAGCATTAGGCAGTATGCGCTACAGACAGCAGTGTTATTATGTAGAAGTACAAAGGCCACCCTGTGTGTTGGAACGTGGGCTAGTGCGGAGCGGCATCTTCACGTGTGTAGTATGCATAGAGGTGAGATATGCGTCTAATGAAAAATTGTGTGCATAAGCTAACACCGCGGTGACCAGCGCCTGCCAGACTCCAAGCCCACCACAATCGTTTGCGGTTCAATTCTCTGTAGCACCGAATAAATGGAAGCGCAATAGGGCATATCCTACGCCTCACTTTACTGAGTAGTCTCATTTTGCCACACCCATCGCCTGGACTTCTCATCCCAATACCGGTAGGCCTGCTGGGCGGCATCCCAGACCCACTGGATGCCGCTCGAGGAGGATTCTGCTGGATTGACTATGCCATGATGGCCAGTGCTCGAAGACTGGCTGCTCTCCACCTGAGTGGACCAATGCTGCGCTGTTCCAGCCGTGAGCAGGCCCTTTCTTTCTAGGTCCTGTAAAACTGCCACTGCCCACTCCTGGCACATCTGTACAGGAACGCCTTGTGCGGAAGACTTCAGCTTCCTCACGTCCTTTTCGTCGATTTCCCCAACGAAGTGGTGCTCGGCAATACCGAAGCTTTTAAATCGCTTGTTCTGGATGACAAGCTTGTATTCTGTTGAAGTCGTTGGACCTCCCGTGACGTGGTACCACGTGCTCTCCGTGGCGTCAGGAGCGACTAATATGAGGATCCAATGCCGAGGATCGTTACCTCGGCGCTTTCCAATGCCAATCCAGAGTTGCAGTTTTGCCATTGAGGGTTTTGAGTACAGTAGTGGTTGAGTGGTATGAATGTAGACGGGGCTGAGTTGGAGAGTGTATACAGACTATCTATACCGGATGCTATCTAGGACTATATACTAATTCATCATCCGCAAGCGCCTGCTACACAACATTCATTTGACCACTACGTGATGTTTCGAAAGACGGGGACGGCGGGGAGGCGGGGATGCTGGCCACTCTACCGCCAATCATTAACCGCCCACGGTCATCATACAGCTGGGAATTGCGAGACGACCGGCTTAAGTATAAGCCATCGACGATGTGTAACAACCCAATCATGCTCAGTATAAAAGTCCAGGCAATACTTGTAGGCGAATATACCCAACCTGGGTCTAGGTATGCAGATGCCGCCTTCTATCCTAGCGTCATGCGAACGGGCTACGAGCCATGATTGGCTACAGGGACAGTGGGAGCTCAGGATTGTCAGAGCTCGGCGCTTAAGACAATATGTATTTGTGATTTCCAGAGCCGGCTGTGTGGGTGGCTGTGGCTACTGCAAGGCAAGGCTTGGTGCTGAGGCACGTACACGGGCGTCTAGCTGAAAGTAGACTGACCTCTCTGCAGCAACCATTTCACAACCGCTCAGAATGGGCTAAAGTAATCAGCCTGTACTTTTCTCTTTGCCAAATACTACCTTATTTTTCTCTCACCAACTGACGCACGTGGTGTCTGCGCTGTATATTGAGACAGCAGCGCTGTTGCCAGCGGCAGTGCCTCGCTCCCACCCTGTTGGTGAAACATGGAACGCTCTCCGACATCGTGTTCCTATCTATGGCCGCTGGACGTCAAATAAACAAACAAAAATCATGTTATAAGCAACGTTCAAGGTAGGTCAACTTTGTGCTCGTGCTACATAGTTGATTTTCTTCAGTTGGCCTCCACATTGGGCTTTTTCGATGGGGAGATCGTTCATGCACAACGCTGGCGGATTTGTCTCATGTAATATGCGATTTTCGAGCGAAACTGGTACCAGACCATGAACCGCTGAATCTGGCGCTAACAGGGGTTCGTGCTATGGAGGTGCCTGCACTGAAATATCGTCCTTTTGTGGCCAGCACCAGGCTACCACAAATTTGTTGGGAGGATGTTTTTTGGCTTCAGTGAATTCTTTGATAAACCCTTGCCCCCCCAGCCCCGAAAAAGCTTTCGTCCCCAGGCGTTTCCTTTTCCTGGGTACTTCTGCTCGATGAGCACTACCACACTGGGCTTGTGCACCAGGGGCCGCTAACCGAGCTCTCCCACCTACTGTCAGCATTCTATCGCCAAACACAGACTTTACCCGTGCCACGCCCCTCTCTCGTGCCTCAAGAGGGTGCTCCCCACCTAAACCGTCATATCACTCAAACCGTCATTTTTAAAGATAGAATTAATAATAACTTAATAACACAATACCCGCCGAATAACGCTATTATTTTCATAGGAAAATAATTTTTCTAATAGCCCTGCCTTCCGCCTATCCCTAGCAACTTTTACAGCCTGTTTGAAGACCTTAATGCGCGCCCGTCGCGCCGCGAGCTGGCGCCGCGAAACCTTCACTGCAATCTCTTCTTCCTCTTTCTACTCTGCGTTGAATATCATACTACGTGCCTTATCGGTTATGAGGGTGCCTCCGTGCTGTATATGACGATTCTTTTTTTGCCTCCTTTGCTAGAATTATTAGTGCTGGGTAAATTCCTAACGTGCGGCCTTCTGAAGTTAAAGAGACGCAGTAGTATAATATAGGGCGCCTTTAATCAGCCTGTCCACCTTATCTAATAGCCCTCCTTTAAGAGGACTATTCTTTAATTCCTCTTATACTAATTTTACTAGCGAATTTACCTACTGTAAAGTATAAGGAGTATTAAAGGGTGAGGAGCCGCTTAATTCGTCGATAGCTAGAGGCGATGGCGTTCGCGGCTGTATAACCTACGCCAGCACAACAGCTGGGTTATAGGGCTAAATTCTAGTCTTTTTAAAAGTAGAAATGATTAATGCTTTTATTAATGCCTTCTTATAAGCTTTTTAAATTAATTTAAGAAATTCTAGCTTACTAACGTACAGTACGCCGTCACGAAGAGTGGCGTCTAAGCACTTCTAATACTACTGCTTTAACGGCTGAAAAATCACTATATTAAGTGGCTATAATAAATGCGTCAAATGTGGTGGCATTCTGAAGGGAATTATACTATTATCTTCATAAGTTCTTATAAATTCGATTATGTAATAGGAGCCGTGACCGTCGAGAATAAGCAGGCGGCGCGCGCCTAATCTGTGTGTTACGAACGCACAGGATGCACAGGTGGGGCTAAGTGAGTCAGGCTAAGTCAGATACACTAGTATCCTAAAGAGGACGCAAGGTCACGTGACCTATAAAGTAATTAATATATTACTTATTAATTACTATAATTAGAATAATTAATAGATAGATAGGAGATCTAACTATCTAGAGTTATAGTAGAGAGGTAGATAAGTACTTAAAGAGGAGGTATTCTTATAGATAAGTAGTCTAAATCTCTATTAATTAATCTAAGTAATAGCTCTACTATTAGGAGATATCTCTTAATATAATTTATACTATAATAACTACTTATATATAGTTTATATATTTAAGGCTAACTCTTTACTTAAAAAGTAAACTAAGTATAGATTAGGATTAAACTACTATTATATTTTAATTAGTCTTATTTAAGAAGTTACTTTTAAAATTATAAATAATTAACCTCTATAGTATCTACTACTAATAGTATAATAACTAATCTAAATAATACTATAGTATAAATAAAGTAGTAGATTAATATATTTACTATTTAAATCTAGACTATAAAGAATACTAATAATAGAACTTTAATATAATAGTAGTTTATCCCTAATCTATAGTAAGTCTATTTCTTAAGTAAAGAGTTAAATAAGTATACACCTAGTGTATATAAGTAGATATTATTATATAAGTTATATTAAGAGATTACTCTTAATAGTAGGACTATTACTTAGATTAATTAGTAGAGATTTAGTCTAACTATCTACTAGAAATCCCCTTCTTTATATATCTATCCTATTCTCTACTATATTATTTAGATTACTTAGCTTACTCTATAATCCTAATAATCCTAGATTAATACTAGATTACTATAATCTCTAGTAATTTAGTTATATAACTAGTTCCTTTATTTCTATACCCTTATAAGCGCCCTATAGTTACTTCCTTAGGCCACCCTACCCTTTATCTATAGTACTTTAGTATATTTATAATATTATTCCTCTTCTCTATTAGTTTTATCCTAAGACCTATAGTCTTACTTTATAAGTTCTTTCTTCCTTTTATATTTTCTTTCTTATAATACTTAACTAAGTGTTTAAGCCTTATTCTAATAAAACTAAATAGTATTCTAAACTTACTATTACTATTAAAGAGTTTAGTATTATTATTATACTTTACTCTTTTTAATATTTATAAAAGCTTTCTTATAAGATAATAAAAAGTGTTTTTTATTATAAAGAGTATATTTATTAAAGTTACTTATAGAATAGTTTAAATATACTTATATTATTCTTTAATTAAATAATTTTTAAATCTTAATATCTATATTAGAAGGAAGAAGAGGTTACTACTTTATTATAATATCTTTAGTAAGAACCCTCTAAGGCCCTTATTAGACTAGACTATCTATATAAATAGTATAAGTCTCTTATAATTTATAGTTCTACTATAGTTAGTTATAGTCTTTAGTTATTTAATAAACTAGATAAGTTAGAATAGACTTTATTAGAAGCTACTATCCTTAGGTTATATAAATATAATTAATTAGAATACTATATTATTAAATCCCTTTTTATTATTAAAAGTAGACTTATTTAAGTAGAGTATTATTAGTTAAACTATTTAAGTAGACTTAAGTAGTTTATAAGGTTCTTATAGGGCTCTTATATATTTTCTAAGTATAAGTATTCTTTCTACTTAATAAAATAATAATAATTCTTTTTTATACTTTATACTTTAAATATCTTTTTAACTTTATATTTATTTATATCCTTAATAATAACATCTATAGTGAGTATAATATTATTTAGTACTTTTTCTAATAGTAAAATATAAAATATAGAATATATTTTTATTCTTTTAAGTAATAATAGTCTATAATTAATATTTAATATTTTTTATTTAATAAAGAATAGTTAAATCTTTTTTTAATTAAGTTTATTACTAGGTTATTTTATTTTAATGTTTTTATAAATAAAGTAGACTTTATCTCCCTTCTTTAGGATTAGTACTAGTAATCTCTTTTTATTTATATAATACTTTATTTAATTCTATAAAAATATCTATTCTACTTATAAGTGTTTTTATATCTTTATAATTATTATTATATATACTATAACTACTAGTATATTTACTTTTTATATTATATATATTTTAATTATAGGGTTATATTTATAGTTTACTTTAAAAAGTAATATTTTTATATTTTTATTTTTTAAACTATTTATAGTCTATTATATAAATAGTAACTATTTATTATAAATACACTAAAGTACTATAGATAAAGGGTAGGGCGGCCTAAAGAAGTAACTATAGGGCGCTTATAAGGGTGTAAGAATAAAGGAACTAGTTATATAACTAAATCACTAGGGATTATAATAATCTAGTATTAATCTAGGATCACTAGGATTATAGAGTAAGCTAAGTGATTTAAATAATATAGTAGAGGATAGGATGGATATATAAGGAGGAGGATTCTAGTAAATAACTAGACTAGATCTCTATTAATTAATCTAAGTAATAGTTCTACTATTAAGAGTAATCTCCTAATATAACTTATATAATAATATCTACTTATATATACTCTATATATACTTATTTAACTCTCTACTTAAAAAATAGACTTACTATAGACTAGAATTAAGCTACTATTATATTTTAATTAATCCTATTTAGTAAGTTACTATAAGAAACCTTAAGTAGATAACTAAGATATTAACTATAAGTAGACTTACT